ATTTTCTCTTCTTAATGCTTGTGGATCTGGATGGAGAACTCTCAGCTGCTTCCTCAGCATTATGTCTGTGTGTGTTGCCATGCTCCCTGCCAGTGATAATGGACTAAACTTGTAAATGTAAGCACGCTCCAACTAAATGCTTTCTTTTGTAAGAGTGTGGTCATGGTGTCTCTTCACAGCAATAAATAAAAATGATTAAGATACAGGGTCTGTCTAACTTCATGACCAGGACAAGGCTGTGCGTTAGCCCAGCCACATTCTGTTAGTGGTGTTCCTGGAATCACTGAAGGGTCTTTTTAGCCCTAACTTCAGAGATGCCTATGGCACCCATTATGTGTGATGTGCTATCATCCCTCACCTGGTCATCAGCTCGATGGTGATGGGGTGAATTTGGGCTTTGACACTAGAGCAGAACAGACAGGCAGGGGGACCCAGGCTCCATCAGCAGATCTGTGCTGCTGCCCACTACATCTAGAGCAGGGCCCAGGGAACCCTCATATGCCAGTGTAGACACTTAACCCTAGCACACAGTCTTTTTGTGACAATTGGCATTTTGACAAACCACCCACTCTGCCCAGTAATGACCTGACAAGGCACTGTGAGGAAGGCCGGCACAGGGCACAGAAACTCCCACAGGCCTTGGCCAACATAAACCCATGAGAATCATCAGGCAGCTACTTTTCTAATTTTTAAAACATTCATACCAAGAATATGCTGATCCAGAAATCTACCGAGTTGAGGATGTACTGGCAAACCCATACAGCTCTTCTGTAAATAGAAATGTGTCTCAGAATTGTGAGTTTTAATTTTTTTATTTTTTTTTTGAGACAGGATCTCACTATGTAACACTGGTTGGCCTGGAACTCACTATAGAGACCATGCCAGTCTTGAACAGAGATCCACCTGTCTCTGCCTCCCAAGTGCTAGGATTAAAGCACGCCCAAAATGTTTAAATTAAACAACACCAGAAACACCTTCAAATGATGGGTTAAACAAAAAACAAGAAATCAAACCAAACCAAGACAACAACAAAACCAAAAAACAATGGACTCCAAGTAAAGGTGTAAGAGTCAGGTGTGTTGATGTGCATCTGTAATCTCAAGTCTCAAGGAGGCTGAGGCGGGAGGATCCCAGGCCAGCTAAGGTTACCAAGCAAGACCCTATTCCAAAAGATCAAGATCTAGAGGGATGGTAAGACAGCTTAACATGTAAAGGTGCTTGCTGCCAAGCATAATAACCTGAGTTCAATCTCAGGAATCCACATGGCAGAGAGAACCAACTCCTGTGAGTTGTCCTGTGACCTCCATACATGCCATGATGGCATGCACACACACATAATAATCAATTTTTTTCAAGACAGGGTTAAATAAATAATATTTAAATAAACTTTAAAAACGAATAACAAAAGGGCTAGAGGGGGCATGGTGTCATAAACATGCAATACTAGTAGGCTGAAGCATGATCAAGAAATCAAGGCCGGGGCTGAAGAGATGGCTTAGTGGTTGAAAAGTACTTGTTCTTGCAGAGGACCCAGACTGAGCACTCACACGGTGGCTCACAATCATCCCTAACTTCAGTTCCAGGGATCCTTCTTTGAACTCCATGGGCACCATGCACACGTAGTTCACACACACACACACACACACACACACACACACACACGTATGCAGGCAAAACACTCATACACATAAGTTGGGCTAGAGAAATGGCTCAGATGTTAAGAATGCTTGCTGCTTCTCAATAGACTTCAGTTCCCAGCACCCACAATGAACAGCTACAAACACCTCTAACTCCAGCTCCCAGGTATCTGAAGTCTAGCCTCAGAGGGCACCTGTCCTCACACGTACACACCCACATGCATACAAACACTGCTGGAGTCAACAAAGCGAGGAAGGAGTGGAAGAGCAGGAGGGGCATCTAAGCCCTTTGACGGCAGGTATGGACCAACAGGATTTGGAGTTACCATGCTTGCTTTGTTCTGGTCCAGTATTTCCTCACTGTGTGCCCCTTCTCCCTTTTGGAATGGTAATGTATGTTCTGTGCCGTTGTATGTTGGAAGTGTGTGATTTGATTTTCACCTTACAGGGGATTACACTTAAGAGACTGTGTTGAAGGTGGATTTTGTGAGTTCAAGGCCAGCTTGGTCTACAAAGCAAGTTCCAGAGAGAAACCCTGTCTCAAAAAACAAAAGAGAGAGAGAGAGAGAGAGAGAGAGAGAGAGAGAGAGAGAGAGAGAGAGAGAGAAGATTGAGACTGCTTTACTCAAAAGAGATTCTTGGCTTTTTTTTTTTTTTGAGACAGAGTTTCTCTGTGTAACAGCTCTGGCTGCCCTGGAACTCTCTCTGTAGACCAGGCTAGCTTTGAACTCACAGAGATCTATTTGCCTCTGCCTCCCAAATGTTGGGATTAAAGGCATACACCAGTCAATATTTTGACCTTTAAAATTTTTGGACTTTTGATTAAAAGACTATGGAGACTTTTTTTTTTTTTTTGGGTTTTTCGAGACAGGGTTTCTCTGTGTAGCTTTGCGCCTTTCCTGGGACTCACTTGGTAGCCCAGGCTGGCCTCAAACTCACAGAGATCCACCCGGCTCTGCCTCCCGAGTGCTGGGATTAAAGGCATGCGCCACCACCACCCGGCCAAGACTATGGAGACTTTTAAAGTTCGTCTGAATGCATTTTACATTATGATATGGCTACAAAACTATGGGGGCCAGGGAGTGGAATGTGGTAGTTTGAATGAGAACAGCCCGGAAAAGCTCATATATTTGAATGTTTGGTCCTCAGTTGGTGGAACTGTTTGGTAAGGATTAGGAGGTGTGGCCTTACCAGAGGAAGTGTGTCACTGGGGTTAGATTTGAGGTTTCAAAAGCCCACACCATTCCAGTTAGTGTATGCACACACTTACTCTCTCTGCCTCAATGTTATCTCAGCATGTAAGCTCTTAGTGACTGCTCCAGCACCATGCCTGTCTGCCTGCTGCCACGCTCTCCATGATAGTCATGAACTCATCCTCTGAAATTGTAAGCAAGACAATAAAATGCTTTTTATTTTTACAAGTTGCCTTGGTCATGTGTATCATTACAGCAACAGAAAAGTAACTAAGACACACACCTACACATAACTTAAAAATAGTAAAAATAATAAAATAAAGAAAAAGTTTCTAGCCATGGTGTTTACACACTGTTGTGAAATATTCCTTTACACTCTGTGAAGTGTAAAGGAATATTTACTGGGATTTTTTTTAAATAAAAAGCTAAACAGCCAATAGTTAGGCAGAATTTTCGGGGCAGGGAGAACACTGGGAAGAAGGTGGAGTCACCAGCCAGATGCAGAGGAAGCAGGATGTGCAGGAGCAGAGGTAACAAGCCATGAGCCACATGGCAGCATGTAAACTAATGGAAATGGGTTAATTTAAGTTATAAGAGCTAGTCAGAAACAAGTCTAAACTATCGGCCAAGCTTTCATAATTAATAATAAGTCTCCATGTGATTATTGGAGAGCTGGCAGGCAGGACAGAAAAAAACTGACTACAACACACCTTTAATTCCACCACTTTGGAGGTAGAGGGAGATAGAACTCTGTGAGATCCAGGCTAGCTTGTTCCACATAATGAGTTCCAAGCTAGCAGGGCTATGTAGTCAAACCCTGTCTCAAAACAAACAAACAAACAAACAAACAAATAAATGATTAATTTTAAAAATAAGCACACCCATAAAAAGAAAAAGTTATTTTACTGGGCGGGGGGGAAGCTATGTTCACCACCTAGAATGCAGCACAGAGGTATCAGATTAAAAGACTAAGGAGACATTACCAGAATATGGGGGGAAGCAATAAGAATAAAAGTTCCAGAAGAGCTGGGCTTGGTCAAGGGCCTATAATCCTAGCTATCCAGAAGAATCACACATTCATGGTCTGCCTGGGCTACAAAGCAAGTTCAAGACTAGCATAGGCAACTGAGTGAGAATTTGTCTCAAAATAAAAAGTTAAAAAAAAGGGGGGTGGGTGGAGTGGGGGGGTGGGGATTTAGCTCAGTGGCAGAGCTCTTGCCTGGCAAGCACAAGGCCCTGGGTTCGGTCCTCAGCTCCCGGGGTGGGGTGTGGGAGGTGTGGGGGGGTGTTCAGAGTATAGTTTAGTGATAGAGTACTTATTTAGCACATTTGAGACCCTAGGTTCAAATCAAAATACCATTAAAAAAAAAGAAAAAGAAAAGAAAAGAAATCATCAGGGCCAAAGAGATGGCTCAGCAGGTAAGAACTGGCTGTTCTTCCAGAAAACTCGGATTCAATTCCTAGCAACCACACAGCAGCTCACAGCCATCTGTAACGCCAGTTAGAGTACTCTTCTGGCCTCTGTGGGTACCAGGCACTAAAGCAGTGCACAGATACACATATACACATGATCATATTAAGAGAAGAGACTTCTGAGCAGTTATTCATATCAGGTTGAAGACTGAAAGGATTCTGAGCAACACTAAGCACAAAGTACAGCCCTGTTTGTCTTGCAGAGTCAACAGTCAAGAATCCCAGATTGAGCAGTAAGTAAATAATATAGATAATGGAAGCCAGATTCAGTAGTGAAGACAGTTATCAGATGCAGGCAGCACTCTAGTTACTGCCCAGCTCACTTCTCCCAGGCAGTGCTCAACAAACTATTCTCCCTTTTACCCTGCAAAAGCACAAAAGACAGTTACCAATCCAGAGGGAACAGGGACAGACCAAGTAGCATGCAGTCACTAGGATTAAGTTAGCTATGGCTCCCTAATCACTGTAAGGATGGTAGAATTAGAGGATCGTTTGGAGCTGGAGAGATGGCTCAGTGGTTAAGAGCACTGGCCGATATCGCTTCTAGAGGACCCAGGTTTAGTTCCCAGCACACACATTGTAGCATATACCCATTTGTAACTCCAGTTTCGGGGGATCCAATGCCCATGCCCTCTTCTTGTCTCAGAGGGCAATAGGCACACACAAGGTTCAGAGACAACCACAAAAACAAACATTCATACACGTAAAATAATAAATTTTTTTTTAAAAAATTAAAGATTATTTGTTGGCTATTATAATACCACATGGACAAGCTCCTGAAGAAACAGAAAAGACCTTTGGGGGCCGCGTTTGGCTCTACAGATGAACCAAGGGCTACACAGGTCTAGTCCTGACAGAGTCTGACTCACCCAGTCCTGGTCCAGTTCTGTCTTCCCAGCCCACAATCCACATCCATTACAGAGATAAGAAAGTCTTGGCTTGCAAAAACCCGAAGGTCAGCAGAGATCTGGCAACAAGCTGCTTGCAGTTAAGAACTGGCAGGTGATCTGACCTACATGGGCCTGGGAGCCAGTTAGAGCTTGTCAGCTGGATCTTGTGGTGTATAGAACAAGAGCCACACTACCCTATCACTGACTGTAAAGGTCTGAGTCATCATGTCCCTCTCAGATTATATGGGACAGTCCCAGGAGAACAGATAAAAACTAAGCTGTGACTACGCTTCCACTGGTTTAAGACTCTCTTGCTGATCAAGCAGTGGTGGTGCACACCTTTTCATCCCAGCACCGCAGAGGCAGGCAGATCTGAGTTTGAGGCCAGTCTGGTTTACAGAGTGAGTTCCAGGACAGCCAGGGCTACACAGAGAAATCCTGTCTTGAAAAACCAAAACAAACAAACAAACAACAAACAAACAAAGAGACTACCTTGCTGACAGGACCTGACTCATGAGCTTCTACTCCAGGCTGTCAAAAACGTGTACACAGAGCTGAGAGGAAAACAAGCCACACAGTGCTCTAGACCAGCAGCAAAGACATGAAGTCAAAGCTACAAGTCACTGCCTGAGATTAGCAGGCAATGGTAATCTAGTGAAATTATCAATTTTTTTTTTGAGACAAGATCTTGAGTGGTAGCCCAGGCTGGCCCTGAATGTGTCAGCTCTCCTGTATCAGCCTCCAGAATGCTAGAATCACAGACATACAATACCATGCCTGGCTCAGGACACCATTCTTCACCCCATTCAACATTAATTTTTCCATATTCTAGTTCCATGGATCCCAGGTTAAGAATGTCTGTTCTTGGGCTGAAGTGATAGCTCAGGAGGGGAAGGGACTTTCTGCCAATCCACCTCCACATATATGCCACGACATGTGTGTACTCACATACAAAATTAAAAAAGAAAAAAGAAAAAAGCCTGGGCCGGGCGGTGGTGGCACACGCCTTTTATCCCAGCACTTGGGAGGCAGAGGCAGGCGGATCTCTGTGAGTTCGAGGCCAGCCTGGTCTAAAAAGCGAGTTCCAGGACAGGCACCAAAACTACACAGAGAAACCCTGTCTCAAAAAACAAAAACAAAAACAAAAACAAAAAAAAAGCCTGTCCTTAGTGGAGGATGTAGCTCACCGGTAGAAGGCTGGCCTAGCATGCTCAAAGCCCAGCACAAACTGGAGGGGCAAGGAAGAAGATGGAATGGAATGTCTGTTTTGAAATAGAGGACTGAGGATGTTCTCAAATACCTGGCCAGGACATCTGGATTGGTCAGTGGTGATTTAGAGAAAACATATAAAATCTGTATCATGTATGTCTGAGAGTTTATCTCAGGGAAATAACCCAGAAAAGGGCCTGCATAGACTAACATTCTGTCCACCCCATCTTGCTGCTAACACTGACACTGGAAACCTCAGACCACTCAGTAGTGAAAAAATTTGTACTGAGTGAGGGACAGTCACTCCTGACTACAGCAACACACTGCAGCTCTTGAGGCTCTAAGGAAGTGTTTATCGCTTTTGAGGAATGGATATTTTCAGGACCATTTGTGTGGTATGCTCAGATTAAAGGCACAAGTAATTGAGGGCATCCACATTACCAGCCACAACACCTCCATGTGGCAGACAGGACCTTTATGTTGTTCTCATTTGTTTACACTGGAAAAAACAATCACTTTAAAAGCCTTCCTATTTCCTCACTTAATCCCCCCCCCTTTTTTAAATTTAAAACTGTTTCATTCTCCTTTCAAATGTGCTTTGTACCCATAGATAGTGATAGTACAGTCCTGTAATTCCAGTACTGAAAGGCTGAGGCAGGAGGGTCACAAGTTCAAGTTCAGCCTGGGCTACCCCTTAAGAAAGACCTTGTCTCAAAAGAAACAACAACAAAATATTTTCAAGTTTATTTTTAGTAGATTACATTCATCCATGGGGGGTGGGAGATGGTAAACAACAACAAAAACACTGAACAAGGAACCCACCTCTCAACCGCAGTGTTTTGCTTTTTGTTTTATTCTTTTGCACGCTTCAAGGATTCAAACCATCAATGTTACAGCCAAACTGTTTGATGCCGGGAAAGTACCAGTTGAGAAAAAAACCGCCAGCTCGCAAAAATAAAGTTGCAGCTTGGGACCTGGCTGAGGTGCCCCTTCCACAGCACAAAATAACATGCTTCTGGGGCCAGAGTCAGTAGACGCCCACAGATGACAGGGTGCCCGCCCTTGCCATCCGGGCGACGCCTCTCCCTGATCCCAAAGCGGTCACAGCCCGCCCGCGATGCCGCCGGTGCCCACCGGTCTCCACCCTACCTGTGCGTCCAGCCCTGCCTGGTGCCAACGGCCTCTGACTTGACCTGGGCTGACTCCAGGACGGGTGATGCCAGTCCCCGCTGGGGCTCAGTTCTGAGGGATGCCACTGGAGTTATTCAGTGCCTTCCGCCCACGCCCACGGACGACACTGCAGGTTCCCGCCGCCGCCGACTTGGGGCCGAGCAGCCTCACACCGAGGAGAGACGCCTCCGAGCCCAGGGCCCGGGCTACACACCCCCTGGCGGCCCGCGGGCAGGACACACGGGCGTGGGAGGGAACCGGACGTGACGCACAGGAAGCTGCGGCGGACGACTCGCCTTACGGAAGCGGGTGCCTCAGGAATCCTGCGCGTTAGTGAGGACGAGCCGCTAGGCAGCGCCCCCTGCAGGCACACATTGGCACCTTCCAAACCAGAGCCGGTACACGGGCTCGCACCCGGGTCGGCCCATTGGCACCCTCGGTAATGTTCGGCTGCAAACCACGGGGCGGAGGCGCGTGCGCGCGTGTGTGGCGGGGTGGGGCGGGGAGAGGAGGGTCGACTCTGTTAAATTACAGCACCACCTGGTGGCCTCCCGTTGGCACCTTCCTGGACATCTCCCCCTTGTCACCTTTTGGTACATCCCAGGACGTTCCACCGAGACCAGGAGGGGAGGGGTCGATTCGCTCAGGCTGCAAACTGTAAGTCAAACCTGGATTTTGTAAGGAAGGAGCCTAAAATCTGATTAGGAAGTCAAATTTAGCGAAGACCAAAGCGCTTACAGGCGAACACCCGGAACAACCCCTGCACCGTACTCTCTGGGTCTCGGATGACGCCGAGTCACGAGCTGTGGGGCGTGAAGGTTCCTCCTTCGGGCCGCAGGATGCTCGCTCTGGCGGTTGAGCGCCCCATGTGGCCACTCGGCCAGAGCCTGCAGGCCGTTTTTATCACGGAAGGTTCTTTTGTGGGAAAGTTTGAGGCTGCCTCTTTCCTCAGCTGGAGATACTTCTCATCAAACCTTCATTTGCTTTTCCTTGGTTTTTTGAAAGTCGAAAGGTTTCTCCTTCAAATATCACCCAGAATAAGTTAAAATGGAGCTTCTTAAGGCTTTTCCACTGGAAAACCCTTTCCATAGGCAAATCAAACATTTACTGATAATCAGCCTTAAACTACAATTCTTTGCTGGCAGGCAGAGGCCAGACTGCTCTATTTAGTGAGTTCCAGGGTTGTGTAGGAGACCCTGTCTCAACAAACGAACAAAACCCAGTTCCCTTTTGGTATGCATGCAGTTTTACCACTTACTAAAGACTGGCTTATGAATAAGAAGGTGTGCTTCTTTATTTATTATTCACAGAAATAATTAAGTCTTGGCTGAATATTTGATACTGCAGGAAGTGAGTATCTTCAGCATTTTTTCAGAGTTGATATTTTGATTTTGTAATCCTCAATGATGAGAACACTGCTTCATTTAAATGGTATAGTACAAATTGGCATAAGTAAGCCCCTAATTAAATGCTTCCTTTGATAATGTTCCTTGGTCATGGCGTTTCTTCACAGCTATAGAATAGTAATTAAGACACGGAGCAACAGGTAAAATCTGATCTCTACAAGAAGGCTAAGGTCTGGGCCTGGTGGCACACACCTTTCATCCCAACACTTGTGAGCAGGCTCCAACCTTCATAGGAGCCAGACCTTAGCACAATGGAATCCATGATCTTAGCACATGGATAGCATCACCTATCAAAATGAAAATGAAGCCCTAATCCATCACAAACCCGAGCCGTCATCTGAGGCTCTGTAATTAACATAAGCCTCTGTGTGTTTGTGGCTGTGGGGCAGGAAAACTTCCATCTACATACGCTGCCCAGCACTTGGCTCAGGGTCGCTGGCGGCCAGCTCCACCTCGAAGGCAGTTGTCTGGAGATGTGTCTCTGCACTGTGGCTGGCATGAGACAAGGAAGCCTAGTGTGGCTCCAATTCTGTGCATTTAGAGCCTTTTTTAAAGCTTTCTCAGGTCTTATGTGGAAATACCTGCCCCACATTTGGTGCCATATGTAGGCAATTTTCCTGTCCCACAGATGGTCTCAAATAAACAGAGGCTTGTATTAATTACAAATGCTAGGCTGATAGCTCAGGCTTGTTACTAGCTAACTCTTACATATGAATTAACCCATGTATCTATCTATACTTTGTCACATGGCTCATGGCTTGTTACCTCATTTTTCTTATACATCCTGTTTGTTCAGCAGATGGCTGGCATCTCCCCTGACTCTGCCCTTCCTCATCTCATCATCCTCAGTTTGGCTTTCCCACTTAACTTCCTGATCAGCTACTAGCCTGTAAGCTTTTTATTAACCAATGAGAGTAATACATATTCATAGTATAAAGGATTATTCCACAGCATTTCCCCCTTTTTGTCTAATTAAAGAGGAAGATTTTAACTTTATCATAAGATTATATACAACAGAAAGTTACTAAGAATTACAGTTGCAATTTCCAGTCCATTTGTATTTGACAAAATTAGAGAAAACACTCAATTTTCTATCCTATCTTGGTGAGTCTAAAGTTTTATACCTAATTTACTTTTTATTATGACTAAGGAAAACTAGTCTTCAACTCCATTAAAGACTCAAGAAAGATGAAATGTTATCTAATGACAGGGACATCAGGCTGTCTGGAAAGTCACCCAAAGTTCCTCTAACATTGGGGCATCCAACTTTGGCCTATAGGCCGAGAATATCTGACAGAAGCAGGGAATTTTTTTTTTTTTTTTTTTTTTTTAAAAGCAGGGAATTTTGAAGAACTGTCCTACCTTGTCTTGGCAAAGTTCTGTAGTCACCCCAATTGCTTCCAACTGTCAGCAATTGAGGCAAGGGTAGTTTCTTTGTCTACATGGCTAGCTTTTGCCATAAAGAAAACATACTCCATATGGAGTTTCTTCAGTGCCCATCATCTTCTCTGAAGTAGATTGGTGCTTCCAGCAACAGATATGTCTCACTGTCATAAAAAAGCCTAAACAAAAATGTGGTAGTGTAGTAGTTTGTGAGATGTCTCGGTGGGTAAAGACACTGCCAAGCCTGACAACCTGAGTTTGATCCCTGGAACTGACAAGACAGCAAGAAAAAAATTGACCCCTAATTTACACACACACAAACACACACACACAAAGTAATAAATGCATAAATACATACATACACAAATAAATAAATAAATAAATAAATAAATAAATAAATAAATAAATAAATAAATAAATAAATAGGGGCTGAAAAGATGGCTCAGGCACCTGAAGAAACATGTACACATAGTCAAAAATAATAAAATTATATCTTAAAAAATTGAAGTGAAATGATTCTTTACTGCTACAGAAGCCCCTGAACATTTAGAGGGCAACTCTATGTCGCCTAAACTTAGTTTGCAGAAGACTTCAGAGATCTTGAAATCTGCCAAGGCCTGCTTCCGCCGGATACAGATTCTTAACTTACAAAGAAAAAAAAGTCTGTTTTAAACCTCTTAGATAATTTGACTATGGAGATTGTAATGTTTTCATTTCTTTAGCTGTTTTTGTTTTTGTTTGTATTGTTTTGTTTTTTTAAGCTGGGCTTGGTGACCCAGGACTGAATTCCCAGCTATTTGGGTGGCTGAGGCAAGAGGATCACAAGTTTCAGGCTTGCCTGAACCACACAGTGAATTCAAGGCCAATCTGGGAAACTTAGTGACACCCTGTTTCAAAAAGTAAAAACAAGACTGTGAATGTAGCTCATGGTAGAGTGCTTATTTATATGTATACCTGTTTTAAGAGAGTATCTCATGTAGCACAGGCTAGCCTCAATCTTTTTTTTTTTTTTCAAGACAGGGTTTCTCTGTGTAACAGTCCTGGCTGTCCTGGAACTCACTTTGTAGACCAGGGTGGCCTTGAACTCACTGAGATCCACCTGCCTCTGCCTCTGGGGTGCACTGCCACCAGCCAGCTCTCAATCTTCTTATGTAGATAAGGATGACCCTGAATTACTGATTTTCCTCCCCAAACCTCTTAAGTGCTAGGATTACAGGTTTGGGGCACCATTCCTGGTTTACAAAGTTCTAGGGATAGAACCCAGGTCTTCTTGAATGTTAGGTAAACACTCTTCTCCAAGCCAGCTCGGGTATTGACTTAATTGTTTTTCCCCCAATCACCGGTTATTATCGATCATTTTGGGTTGACCTCTGGTATCTTGCTGCTTTCCCTCTACACAGAGGTGACAAGATTTCTCTTGGAGGCAGACAGTAGGGAAGGAATGAGGCTATGCCTCAGGTAATGTTCTGGGAAGCTAGGCTGCTCACCTTCAAAGCATTAGGAAGCAGGCAGTTCCCAAGGGGTAAGACTTCTGACCTGAACCATGAAGAGGGTGGGTGATAGGACCTGCTTGGGTCTATTCTCATTTGGGCTCAGTACTGAGCACAGGCCAACACCCAGTGTTCCTCACCAGCCTTTTATTGTAACCAAGTTATGTCAGAAAATCAGACAGACATAGTTGTGTCCTTCTACAGCATCAGAATTTGAGAAGCAGTAAATCTAAAAGTTGTGTCAATTTTGTTGGCTTTTCCAGCTAATAAAGATTTAATCTGTTAGATGTCTCCCATTGGCAACCATGAGTTTCTTTTTTAGTTGTTTTGGAAACTGCCAGAATTTGTCTTGAACTTGCTATATAGCTGAAGATGACTTTGAACTCATGATCCTTCTGTCTCCAACCTCCCAAGTGCTATGATTACACGTGTGTGCCACCACATCCAGGCCATTATTCCAATCTTAATTACTAATATTAACACTTAGATTACATATTACTTTTTTGTTTTGTTTTTTTTAATTAATTAATTGAATTTTTTTTTGTTGTTTTTTTGTTTTTCGAGACAGGTTTTCTCTGTGTGACAGTCCTGGCTTCCCTGGAACTCTCTCTGTAGACCAGGCTGGCCTCGAACTCACAGAGATCTGTCTGCCTCTGCCTGCCCAGTGCTGGGATCAAAGGCGTGTGCCACCACCACCACCAGCTGTTTTGTTTTTTCAAGACAGGATTTCTGTGTGTAGATGTGGCTGTCCTGGAACTCACTCTATAGACCACGCAGACTGACCTCGAACTCAGAGATCTGCCTGCCTGTGCCTCCCAAGTGCTGGGATTAAAGTTATGCATGGGGTTAAACACTGGGTGCTGCTTGGACACCATGCCTAGGCCTCCAGGAATGTCTAAAGGGCTGATGTGATCCCTCTCTCAGCTCTCTCCTCTCACATACCTTTGCTTCTCAAAACAAAGAAGGTCAAGGGTCCAAGGTCAACAGTCATTGCCAGGAGTGTGGATGGCCCTGGGAGCAGGTCTCTAACACTCCTAATGAGCCACCTCTCTGGCTCAGAGTCTCTGGGCAGTGCTGGGTCTGACTCCCAGCCTCCAAGTGTTCTTTAGGCCATGGAAGGGATGCCGGCTCTGGACAAGGAGACTGAGTTATGGGTCCTGGGTAATGTGGGGCTGTCACATACATACAATGAGCAGTTTGAAGAACGCTAGCACCCTGCTAGTAGAGACACTTCACAAGGTGAGGCCCCAGGTACTGGGTATGTTCCGGCAAACAACAGTCATTCTTGCTGTCAGTGGGTTCCTGAGTTCTTCTGACTACATCTGTGATTAGCACCCTCAGGATCATTACTCATGGCGGTTCGGTAGGGAGGTAAGTTATGTAGACCTAACTAAAAGTGAACCTGAGAGTCGTGATGCTGTCATTGTCCTAACAAGCAAAGTGGGCCTAAACAGAGCAGGCAGTGACCACCTGGGGCCTGGGCTGGCCTACAAGGTGGGTGTATAAGGCCACTGGCTGGCCCTTTGCTCAGCACAGGGCTGTTTGTCTTGAGAACCATGCTGGGACCTAGGCAGGTTCAGGGCTGCATAGAAGCAGGCACCCCAGTGGTCATCTTATTTTTCTAGCACTCAACAAGCTCTTGACACACAGGCAGTAGTCTGGAGTGCCAGTGCCCACCATATCCAGGCTGCTAGGGGCTGGTAGAGGTTTGCCTGGCTTACAGCTACCCCGACCTAGACTAGGTGTTTGGATGGATGGTGGGTGAGGGTCAGGTGGCTTCCCTCACCCCCTTGCAGCACTGGGACTCGGAGACTCACTTCCACTTTGGTCTCAGTGCTCTTCCTGATGACAGTGCAGCCTGACTTGAGGACACTATACCTGAGACACTGCGTGGCCATGGTCTTTGGCCTTGGTAGTTACTTTTCCATCCTAGCTTTGGGCACTACATGTGAACTTCTCTCTGAAGAGGTGGCTGTGCCCCTCCCCCTAAGATACAATGCTATATTGCTTTAGGGTGGGCACCTGGCCAACCCAGAGCCATGGCGCTCTCAGTGAGAGCAAGTGTTTCTCTTGTGGCTAGGGTGGCCTCTGGAGACTATGCTGGATGCCCTTGAGACTTGGAATTGGTTACAAAGAGACAGAGAAAGCTGATACTTAACCTATTTTTTTTTAAACAAGTTTATTTATTGAAAGAATCTGAAAATAGTAATAAGGCCTTCATTAACAATTAACAAATTTTAAGATATTAATATGAAACATTAAGAATTTACGTGAAAACTCCATGTGTTCTAGATCAGTCTGGTAGCAGCTGTTTCTAGGCTTGTCAACACTTGCTTTTTAGATGCGTGACCCGCACTCCAGACCCTGCTCTCCTCTGGATCACAGCAGAGGCCTACTGTGCTCACAATCACAGATGAACAGCACAGATCTTGGGGACAAGCTACCATAGCCTAACAGCACTGAAGCCAGACAACTTAGGGCTCCATTGCTGAGTTGTGTCAACAAGGGCCCTGTGGGTCCTGACTTTAACGGGTTGAAGAAAGCTCAGTGCGGTCAGCTCTACAGAAGCTGGCAAACCCTTTTCAGCAGCATGAGACAGAAACCTGACTTTACCCTGGAAGCCAGAATGGGCGGTCCTCCCTTCCTACTGCTGCCATAAGAGGTGAAGACAAAACTGAAAGCAGATTCCTAACTGAGGCACCTCGGCTGACCACTGACTCCACAAAGGCTCCAGGGCCTGTGTGGCACCCACGTGTGTTAGTTGGGTTACACACACGCGCTGCACACAGGGCTCCAAATGGCTGCTGCTCAGATGCAAACCTAAGACTCTTGTGGAAGGAGGAGGGCAGGCTCACAAGCCTGATGTCAATAGTGAGTTGGTCTCAAAACCCTTGTGGCCACTGTGAAAGGGAAGAGTGGAAACACAGAGCCCTGTCCTGGACACAATGTAAACACTGGACAACAGGCAGTCCCTCTAAATCTTCACAAAGCGTGTACAAGAAAATATGTACATAATCACTTCAGAAAGTTTAAAATAACCTCTAAAAAGTGTACACAGGACTTAAAATGTCTCAGGAGCTGCTGCCCTGCTACATGAGGAATGTGACGCTGCTTGATGGCTGTGCAAGGTGTTGCCTCTGTCTGCTCTGGAAGGAGTCAGAGACCTTGGGCCAGACTCAGAGACACCTGGCCATCACACGCCTTGCCAACCCCTAGCAAGGCTGCCAGGTGACCCCGAGAGTTGCAGAGGGAGGTACAGGACCTGGGGAGAAGCACTGCAGCTAACGGAGGAGTTCTGGCTGAGACATTTATTTCAGTATCAAAGGGAAGATCAATTCATTCTGACCCCCTCGGAATTGCAACAGACTGATTTATGGGAATTCCTGACTGGGATCTCAGGGGGCCCATGGGAGAGATGTAGGACACCCAGCCCAGTTCTCATTTTGCTTCTTTAGAAATGAAAAAGAGGTTTAAAAACATTAAAAAGCTGATCTGTTCTTCAAAAGGCAGACCCAAGCTCTCCCAGCAAGGCAGGCAGGCACAGATGCCTGGATAGCCATGTGGTTTGTCAAGGCCAGGTCAGCCAGAAGGCCAGCAGGAGAGCAAGAGAAGGAAGGCCCCCAAGGGCTGGAGGGCTCAGGCTGGAGGCTGGGAAATGAGGTCTAGCTGTCCTCCTCATCCTGGTCCTCATCCTCATCCTCTGGGAAGTGAGCTTGCTTCTTTCGAACATTCCAGTGCAGACACTGGGCAAGGCTCTCAAACCAGTCACTCACAGGGTCAGACACACAGATAGAGGGCAGCGGGTAGCAGGAGGTGGTAATGCTGATGCTTTGAAGGGAGAGAGAGAAATATGTTTGGGTAAGCCAGGTACTTTTTCAAGTAAAAAACTGTTCTCCCTAGGCCAAAGCCCTCTCCCAGGGCCTCACTGTGTCCTAATGCCGGCAGCCACTTTGGATTCTGAGGGGTACACAGACACAGGCTCTGCCCCTGTTGTCACTGTACTGATAACCTGACTCTAGGTCTGATTCCCAGGGGTCTGGGCAACTTCTCCTGAGGTGAGGCAGCGTGGGGATTGGTGAATGACCAGACAAATACATAAGCAGCTCTGCTGGCCCATCCTAGATCCTGTGATAGGCCACATTTAACTGTTGGGCAGCACACCCACACACCCAGGGAGACGCAGAGCTAGCTAAGTCAGTGTGCCTGCTGTTTCTGAGGCTGTGCAGTGAGTGACTGAGGATGGCTGTGGACCTTTCATCTCAGGTACTGTAAGCCACAGGCAGCACCACAGCCTTGCTGGAGGTGACTCACCCTAGATCTAGGCTGAGACCAGTCCTGTCTCTGGGTGTAAAACAAGAACCAAGGGACAGGGCCTTGCTACAAGCCTACTGCATCTATACATGACCATGCTTTGTAACAGGCCACCCACTAATGATTAATACCACATGACAGAAGACAAGGTCAGCCCATGTTCCAGCACTGCAGCCCCACACCTGTCTCCATGGCGTATTTCCTGCCTCTTCCGTCCATCAAAAGACACCCATGCAGTGTTCCTGGCTTCCGGTGACAGCATAATCTAAAGGGGTGAAACAGGAACAAAAGTGGGCTCTAGGCATGAAGGGTGTGTTTCCAGCTCACTCTGGGTCCTCCTGAGTTCCTGCAGGGTACAACTTTAGCCACATTTTGGTGTTCTAAGAATAGTTGCTACCTCCTATAAATATAGCCATTAGAACTTATATTAGTAACAAACTAGCTTGAGTGGCCTGTGATGGAGGTTAGAGAAAAATGAGGCTGAGGCTGGGTACTCAAAGATCAGCCAGAGACCAGGTCAGAGGCTTTGTGGAGGACACTAATCAGGGTCTTTCATCACATGGAGACACGTATGCCATTCCCTCCCAATGGGGACCATCCATACTTCTTGCAACTACGGGCTCTGCATGGAGAGCTGGCCAGCTCTCTGTGCCACCAGAGACCATGGACAGGTAGGGCTGACATGTGAGGGTGCTGGGAAGTGGGCCTTTTGGAGGTGGCAGGTGCAACTGCTTTCTGCTGGCTCAGGGTCAAAAGACTCACAGACCAGAGGAGATACAGGGAGGCTGCTCTGACCTTCAGCTCGACCCCTGCAGGGACCACGATGGGCCGGAATGACAGCGAGTGGGGGCAGATGGGTGTAACCATGATGGCCGGCACGTTGGGGTGGACCATGGAAGCCCCGGCTGCAGCTGCATATGCTGTGCTGCCCGTCGGGGTGGACACGATCACTCCTGGCAGGGACAGGGTGTAGGCATCACTCTTGGGCCCATGTGGGTTTCTTGGGTCCCCAGGTGCAACATGGGCCTTACCATCGCCCTGCACAGTGGTGATAAGGTGTCCATCCAGGTAGACATCTACATTCGACAGGTATGAGGAGGGGCCTCTGTCTATCACCACTTCATTCAAGACCTGGAAGAGATGGCAAGGCCATGGCACTGCACTCAGGGGTCATGGCTCTACCATAAGCAGTTAAGGCTTACCAGAAGTTTCTTATCCTGGTGTCAGGGATTCCAGCCCCGAGTTCATCCCACCCTGATCCCCTCCTTGGGAGGTGAGGTTAGTTAGCTGGGGACTTCTCCACAGACCTGGTACTGCATGGCCTGCTTTCCGCCCTCTGTGTCCAGGCCGTTCTCACTGAGGCCATTATGGATGGCTATCTTCTTGTCTCTGAGCTCTTTCACCACCCTGACCTTCAGCCGGCTCCTCAGGATAACAGCAGCATTCCCTGGGGTCAGCAGGATCCAGCTCAGGGAGGCTGGGGCCACCTCCAAGGAAGCTGGGACCCTTCTCCTTTATGTTCCTATGTCAGTGACCTTCAGTGCCTTTCACCAAAGCAACCCTGAGCAGCCTATGTGCTGCCAGATTTCCCACTTTAGTAAGGAGTATTTGAAATATCTGCAATTTAGAAATCCCCAAATCTTGAAACTCCATCATTAAATAAAAATATTAAAAACAAAACAAAACAAAACAAAAAAACCCAACAACAATAACCAAGGGGGCTGGAGACATGGCTCAGTGGTTAAGAGCACTGGCTGATTTTAAAAAGACTCGGTTTCAATTCCCAGCTCCCACATGATGGATCACAACCATCTATAACTCCAGTCCCAGAGGATCCTACACCTCCATGGGCACAAAGCATACATGTTGTACAATAGATGTACTTGTAGGAAAAATAACCATACACATAAAATTGAAAAACAAAAACAGCAACAACAAAAACCTAACCAAGAAGGAGGGAAACCCTGAACTGTTTTGTGAGATCCGGAACATTCCAACTTACCCTCTATCACCTGATTCACTTGGGATTGGAAGTTCTCAAAGTTGAACGGGGTCAGAAAGCCCAGGGAGCCAAGGTGGAAGGCCATGACAGGAGGCACACTGCCCTGTGGGTGAGGAGACCAGGTGGCATTGCTAGGCTACCCAGGAACCACTAAACTGTCAATAGCTGTGGACCTTGGGGATGATCCAGGCAAGAGGTTACAAGAGCCAGAACAGGGTAGGATGGTGCCATCTCCCCAAGAAGTGAGAAAAAGGTGGGAAGGGCCAAAAAGAAACAAAAGCAACAAGACCAGACCAGCTCACTGGTCACACAGGAAAGATCTGGCTAGTACCAGATACAATGCTGTGACTGTAGAGATACATAGGCTAGAAGGAAGGCAGACTTGGCAGAGACCTGGGGGATGGAAGAAGAAAAATGGAGACGGTTGAGGCCCCATCTAAATACAAACGGGGCTGAGCCAAAACCAAGGTTCTAGGTACAAGTTGCCTGCAGTCCTTGGCCAGCAATTTCTACAGCAAAGCAGGGAAGACATCTTGCCAGGAGAACCCCAACCCGCACTTCCACCCTTAACTCCACACAGCTAGATGGGCTCTGCCTGGCATCCCACCAGGGTGTACTGTCCTCTTCCAGGCCACTCTTTGCAGGCCACCATGCCCACTCTTCCAGCATACCATGGGCCAGGTCCTACCTTGCTGAGGGTGAGACAAGCGAGGCTCCAATGTCCTCTTGCTGCCCTTACCAGCCTAGGGCTTTGGCTTCTAGACTAGTTCTGCAGTGCCAGATCTCTCCCAGATTGTCTGGTCTGTGGCCATGTGGTCACACTTCAGGGAGAGTCTCCCCACACCACTACTCTCCCTCCTCACCAGCTCAACACTGTCAGAGCATGTCCATTCATCTCTACTCACCCCAGGAGACTAGTTACTTGCAAACTTGCTTTACTGCTAATAACTGGGCTGAAAAAAATTTCTACCTCCTTAGAGCATTGGTTCTCAACCTTCCTAATGCTGTGATCCTTTAATACAGTTCCTCATGTTGTGGTGACCCCAACTACAAAATTATTTTCGTTACTACTTCATAACTTTATTTTTGCTACCGTTATAAATCTGAATGTAGCCGGGCGGTAGTAGTGCATGCCTTTAATCCCAGCACTCGGGAGGCAGAGGCAGGCAGATCTTTGTGAGTTCGAGGCCAGCCTGGTCTACAGAGCGAGTTCCAGGAAAGGCGCAAAACTACACAAAGAAACCCTGTCTCGAAAAACCAAAATAAATAAATAAACAAATAATCATAATGTAAATATCTGTGTTTTCCAATGGTCTTAGGTAACCCCTGTGAAAGGGTTGTTTGACCCCAAAGGAGTTGTGACCCACAGGTTGAGAACCACTGCCTTAGAGTAAGACCACTAAGAAGCTTGTGGCCTTCTGGTATGAAGCTGTGTGATGAAGAGTAGGGAACTTACACTCTGAAAACACCTCCTCACATTATACCCGAATAATACCTCAACACCCTGAAACACAGCCTTACCTGGAAAAGTGAGGAGGCATAGAGCAGGGTACCATCTCCTCCAAGACATATGATGAAGTCTATCTGGTTGGAAATGTCATCATAATCTAGAAAGCAGACAAAATTTGGGGAATGTTGTCATACAAAGCCCTAGTGCTCAAGCATGCAGATGCCAACAGGGCAAAATGCCAATGGCTTCTTCCAGTTGAGAGAGCTCAAGACAGCATACCTTCACGGAAAGTGCAGAACTTCTTCTTCACTGGTCCAAAGTTTTCATCACTCACTATAGCAGGGTCTTCCAGCACTTTCTTTTCCACATACACGATCATGTTGTTCTCCTGGAAGCAAAGCATGTATGGGAGCCATCACACAGCCCTCACCAGCCCAGCCCAGGTCATACTGGCTTTTCCACTTTCGGACAGGGGTAAAAAAGTTGTTTTCTTAGCTAGCAAGTCATTTCCAACCTGCTCACTTCGTTGCTATGTAGCCAGAAACTCTGTGGCTCATGGCATCCTAGAGGTCTCTTCCTAAACAGGCACTTTCTAACCCAGTAGCTCAGGAATCAGATAGCTGTACCATGGTTGGATATGTTTTGAGGGAGTCCCCTAAGTCATGTACTGAAATGAACATGATTTTTGAGGTGTTGAGATGGTGGCAACTTAATTTTTGATGTTCAGAAGTGGCACCTCTAGGGGGTAATTAGGAGTAAGGTCATCATGGTAGAGCCACACCACTGGTTTCTGGTGGTTTTACAGGAAGAAGGAAACGGCAGAAGATATTTGTGCACATACACAAGAACACACCACCTCTTGCCATATGCTATCCTATCCCTTTGGGCTTTGCAGGGAAGATGGCCATCATCAGATGTGGCCCCTGGACTTTGCATCTCCAAAATCACAAACTAAAACAAATCTTTCTGTTAAAACTTACCCAGACTGGGGAGCTGTATTACAGGCAACATGAAAGGGACTCACTCAGGTGAGGGTTAGCTGCTGCAACATGACTTAAGAGGTAGTATATTTGGAGGGGTTGAGGTCAGGAGAGCTAGCATTGCTGGTATCTTAGAAAAGTGGGGTAGCCGGGTGGTGGTAGTGCACGCCTTTAATCCCAGCACTTAGGAGACAGAGGCAGGCCAATCTCTGTCAGTTCAAGGCCAGCCTGGTCTACAAAGTGAGTTCCAAGATAGTCAAGGCTACACAGAGAAACCCTGTCTTGAAAAGAAAAAAAAAAACAAACAAACACAAAAAACCCAAACCAACCAAACAAACAAAGAAGTGGAGCACTGCCATGGGGCATGTTCCTCATGAACAGTACAAGATATAGCTCTCCTACCTTGAGTTTCCCAGCACCAGCACTGTGAGCTAGTTAAGAATTGTTTAAAATGCTTCAGACATCTAAGTAAGACGCCTGAAGAGTCCTTTGTTCTGCCACCCTGGACAAGTCTCCGCCCACTCCTGAGGAGGATGCATCACCCCCAGAGCACAGCCCTATCTTGCTTGCCTTACCTCCATGAGGTATATGCAGAGCTCTTTGAAGGGCTGCAGCAGGCTGGCATCTCGGATCTTTTTGATGACAAGCACACTCTTGGGAGACTTGTTCCATGTCAGCCGCTGGCTTGCAGGGTCCTGGATGTGCCTTTGGAGAGAGAAGAGAAATCACACCAGCAGTTATCTTTTCCTTGAGGAAACAGACATGTAATCTGGAAAAGTAAAAATAATGATACACCAAAAACAAATAAAACCACACCAAAAACAAATAAAAATACGTCGCTAACTTGTGTACATAGAATCAGCAATGGATCCCACCAGGGATAGCTGCTAGCCATCCTGCAGCCTGGAGACAGGAACACAATGGATCCAGAGCAACCATCCTTGAAGACCCCTCTGCCCAGCCACTGTCCACCCTGCCCAGCCAATGTACCTGTAATCACCTTCATGGGCTAGATTACATATGCTATGTTCATTTCCTTACTGATACTCCCTGGTGGGTACGGCCTTGGCACGGAGCAGCAGAGGGAAAAGCCTGAGCTGTCTGTCAGGCAACTGAGGACACCAGCTCCTCACAGAACACCTGGTTTAAGAACTCTGTCCTGGGGTCTACTGTGAAGTTTCCAGTCCCAGGACCCTTCAGGACATGTGTTTCCTTTGATGTACATGAAGGTGTATGGCCTACCTCTCTATGCCATAAATTTAGTTGGCTCTTAATTATTAGCTTATTTCTTTATTCATTTATTTATTTATTGAGACAGGTTCTCACTATGTAGCCTTGACTGGCTTGGAACTCATTATATAGATCAGGCTGGCCTCAAACTCACAGAGATCTACCTGCCTTTGCCTCCTGAGTGCTGGGATTAAAGGTACAACCTGGTACCATGTCTGGCCCAGTGAATCTTAGTTTCTAAAGCACCATTTTCCCTGTCCAACACAATTTTCCCAATTCAGAAAAGATTCCATGTCCTGGCAGTTTATGAGAACCCACTACCAACTTTGGAAATTTTGACACAAACTACTAAAAGCAAAGGTCACAAAACGACCATGGAACCCTGGTCACAGCACTCACCTGTTTCTGGCATTTCTGGGAGGGGAGGGGCCGCTCATAGCCACCTCTTGCCTCACCACCTGCCTGTAGTGCTCCCGACTCCTGAGGCGGTGGGTCTCCACCTTCTGGAGACAGCAGGCATGTCCCCGAATTTCAGTGATACTTCACTAGCAAACACACACTCGACCCTGCGTGGCTACCATGCCCCTAGTTGTGTATTACACTGTGAGTCTAGTTTTTTTAATCTTCAAAACTGAAAGCAAAATGTAAAAGACTTGTCAAAGGTCCTACAGAAGTGTTCGCTAAACTATGAAAATTAAATAAACAATATGTAGACTTCCTTCTGAATACATGATCATTTTGCCTAACCATCTATTTTTAAAATAAAAAAACAGGAGGTTAACTGTAAGAGCAAAGAGGGCCAGCCTGAACTCCTTGCTCTTAGTGGAGTACCAGGACCACCTGCCTACCAGGCCTCTGGCAGGCCACAGTGTCCTGGCTGCTTAGGGAACTGGGAGCTTGGAAATGGCACGGCCCGCCCACAGGGAGGAGTTCTCAGGCCACCTGCAGGTGAAAGGGCTACAGGGGAAAGGCAATCACTTCCTGAACCTACCAGTCTCTGGGCTCCAGACAATGTGAGTGATCACAACCTTCTGTGCCATGAGAGAGCTCCAAGTCCCCACCCTACACCCAGCAGCCTGCCCTGCCCATGTGTATGTCACGACTGCCCCAGGCAGGCCCAGCCCATGACTTTTGGCCCCAAAGCTCAGGAAGGGTTCAGCATGTGCCACCAGCATTAATATATACAGGCCAAGATGATGCCAAGCCCTCCCTGTGACCACAAACCAGTTCCTCAACTTCCTGTTGGGTCATCTAAAGGGGAATGCTAGCCATTCCAGACAGTCTGAGCTTCAGGTGCCATGTGGAGCTGGCAGGCCATGGCCTGTCAGAACCAGCTCTGAGTGACCTGCCATGCCAGCCAGGGATGCATGATAACTGTGCCATACAACTAACAGAGGCTGACAGCCTAACGTATCCTCATAAGGAAAACACAGCCTCAAAGTAAAGTCTCAAACTAAGAAGGAAATGAAAATTCCTCATGATAAGCCCTCCATGTTATCTTGGGAATATGTGGGAAATGTATGGAGCCCTCTGTAATCCAGAGCCCAGAGCAAATGATCCCAGCCAGGTTAGTGCCTGTCCTAGACACTAACCACAGTCACAAAGTCCCCCACTTGAACTTCCTGACCTCAAAGAATGGCTTAGAGACCACTTTGTGTCTTGGCCTAAGTAACTGATATCTATGTAAAACTGGCTGTGAGGGGCCGGAGAGAGAGTTCAGCAGTTAGGAGTACATAATGCGCCGGGCAGCGGTGGCGCACGCCTTTAATCCCAGCACTCGGGAGGCAGAGCCAGGCAGATCTCTGTGAGTTCAAGGCTAGCCTGGTCTACAGAGCAAGATCCAGGGCAGACACCAAAACTATAGAGAGAAACCCTGTCTCAAAAAAACCTAAATAAATAAACAAACAAATAAATAAAATAAAATAAAGAGTACATAATGCTCCCCTGGTGTGGTGGCATACACCTTTAATCCTAGCACTTGAGAGGCAGAGACAGTCGAATCTCTGAGCTTAAGGCCAGACTGGTCTACAGAGCAAGTTCCAGGACAGCCAATGGCGTATACTGCTCTTGCTGAGGGTCTATGTTTGGTTCCCAGCACCAACATCTGATATTACAATTGCCTGAAACTCTATCCATTTCCAGGTGGTCCAAAACCCTCTTCTGGCCTCCACAGGAAGCTGGTGCAAGCAAACATACAAACAGGCATATATATACATATACATACATATACATACACACACATATATATAAATTATACAAACAAAATTTGGCTGTTGGAGAGGCCTAAGTAAGTGGCAAGTGTTAGACTGTGCAGGAAGGGGCTGCAAGCAGCTGGTAGTTGGGCAAACATAGGAGACCAGCAGGACACTGGGAAGTGGAGGGCAGGCATGTGGGCATCAGGACAGAAGCCAGGAAGCAGGGGGCTGCCTACAGCTCTGAGTGCTGGGGAGCTTGGGTGGGCCACATGTGGCTTGTGTTCCATCTCTAGCATGGCAAACCAACCCCTTAAAACATACATACACACCAATAAAGAGAAGCATCTTTCAAGCAACTAAAATCAGGTTGAAAAAGAAAGAAAACTGACGTTTCTACTTCTGGAACAATTAAGGAGAAACCTCTTTGTTGGATGGAATTCTCACTATAAGAAACAACTAAGCATCTCACACTGCCCATGCAGGACGGGCACAGTGAGACCCAGCACCCTTATTTTCCAACGCTTTTCTCTTTTCCCTGGTTTGTTTTTGTTTTTCAAACAGGGTCTGACTCTGTGGCCCAGGCGGGCATCTTACTAACACCCCAGGCTGGCTTAGAACTGGAGATCCTCCTGCCTCAAACTGAGTGCCAGATTACAGGTGTGTACCAAAACAGAAAGTTGCCCTCTGCCTCTAGAAGCCATGGGAAAAACCACCAGCTGAGCATCTCCACTTAGGAGTCTCTGAACACAGAGGGTTCTGAAAGACACCTGCTTGGCTTTTGTTTTAAACAATTCAGAAACCTGCACAGGGCAATCCCATAATACTCCCAAGGAACCTCCCCAGCCCCCAAGTCTGGTAAACTCACATGATGGTCTGGGGGTTCTGTAGCACGCAGGCCTTTGGTCCAAATGTGGTCACTGGGCACGGTCCATGGAGAGAGCGGGTCCTCCTGTGGAGCACAGTGGGAGATAGTGTCAAAGTAGGAGGGGACAGGCAGCAAGACAGACATGGGATACGTCAGGCCCTGTCAGTCTCCAAGAAACCCAAATGACATTAGCCCCATCGTACACAGCATTCACATGGCAAGCCCAGAAGATCCTGCTCTGGTCTAGTGATGCCATGCCTGATTTCACTGCTGCCCAGGTTCCCTGTAGCAGTACTGAGACATGGAAGCTGACCTGGACACGCTCCTGTGGACACTGATCCCAAATCAAAGAAGGCACAAGTCTAGTAACAGCCAAGAAAACACTGGCTTCACATAAGCCTAAGACCCAAGGCAGTACCTCTCAGCAGGTCTGTGGGCTATAATCGGGAGTCAAAACCTGACACCACCCTGAATAATCTAGATGAACATTCTAGCAGAAATATTTGCTCTAGAGCACATGTGTCTACAACACAGATACTAATTGAGCAACCCAGCCTTCTCTCCTTCTGAAAAGTGACCCAGCCAGTTGAGCATCCAAACATAGGTTCACTGCAGCCTGCCTTGCCTAAGGACAGCAGCAGTCAATGCTCCCTATGCTTCTAGGGGTTCAGCACAAAGACTAGAACAGTATTGTGACTTTTCTTCTTGGGTCATTCGGCTCAGGCCTCGGGGGGTCTCACCAACCCTTCACAGCCCAAAGAATACAACACTGAGATAGCAAGAGCAGCCTTCAAACTTTCTTTCTCCTTCAGCTGCTTGTCTCCAAACCCACAAAACCTTCCAATTCTGATGACGCAGATGAAAGACTGCTCTGCTTCTGGAGGATGGGCAGCGTCCAGGGTCATGGAGCCTGGCCAGACTAGACAGCTGACAACTGGAGAGGAGTCGATTGGTTGTTGAAGACCTTTCTGGACTAAACAAGTGCTGGAGTTTTACATAAAGCTTTTTTTCCCTTTTCTTTCTTTTTTTTTCAAACAGGGCCTCCCTATATAGCCTAGGCTGGCCTTAAACTTGTGATCTTCCTGCCTCAGCCTTTTAAGTGCTAAGATTACAAGTGTGAATCACCAAGCCTGGGTGATTTACATAAGCCTTTAAAAAGTTATACAGAATATCACAAATATCAACTTTTGTCGGAACTTAAAGGTTACCAGGCAGGAAATTTAGAGCTTGCAAAAGACAAGATTCAGAACTGGCACTCCCTCTATCGTCCTTAAAGGATGGGTTGCATGGGCAAACTTGCTTGTCTCCATACTGCCCCAGGGCATCAGCCACCAGCTACAGAAGCTGCCCTGACCTACAGTCATTTTCACAGGTTCAACACCCCTGAGACAAAAATATACATTATGGCAAAACCGGCACAAACCAGAAACTAAGGCAACTCTGCCCAAGGCTGGCAGAGCACAAACCTAGTGGCGAAGGCACAGGCAGCAGAAGGTGCTCTGTGACCAGCTGTATAGCAGAGGGTACAATGTAACCAGCTGTATAGCAGAGGGTACTCTGTAACCAGCTGTGTACCAGAGGGTACTCTGTAACCAGCTGTGTACCAGAGGGTGCTCCATGACCAGCTGTGTACCAGAGGGTGCTCTGTGACCAGTTGTGTACCAGCGTCGGCCACCTAGCCTCTGACATAGCCATCTCTCACAGACAGAACTTTCTATACAGAACCTGAAGCAGCTGCTTGTTCCTCCACTGCTACCACGTAGGAGCTCTGTGAGATAGAATGACCCCCTGATTTTAAAGTGGCTCCTCACTAGAAAGCCCACCTTCGCATTTCACAAGCATGACCCTTGTTCTGGAGTCACTGCCAGTCTCTGGCAAGCTTCCATCTGAAACTTAACATAGTTATTGTCACTGGGAGTGAGAACACCTGATGACAGCGGAACACCCCATGCGTGTCAGGTGACCCCCCCTTGAGGCTTTATGCCGCAGCAGAGGAAGGCAGTGCCCCACAACCTGCACATGAGACCCAATGGCCTGCGTATGAGGAGCTGAGGGCTCTGGGTCACAACAGTATCTCTGCTCCACCAGCATCCTTTCTTTTACTGAGCACAACCATGCTTTCCTATCAGCTTAACCCCAAGTCAGCACGGTTCTAGTTGGGTGGTTCTGTGCTGAGACAGAAAGAAAAACATAGTGCAGCCTATATTTGGCACATGCCAGTTGGTAACGAGTGCCCAGCACAGTCTCGTGGACAGTGTTTGATCCCTCTGCTAAGGTCAGCACCATTTGGGCAGTGCCCAGCCCCACCCCATGGACAAAACTAACATTAAGCAATGTTGACCTACACTGATACAGGCTGTGTTCTCTGTAAGGATCTTAACATGTCCCATCATGGCATGAGAAGAGAGGGGAGCACTCCAGATCCTACCTGAACTCCTTGGTGCTGCCCAGGGCAGGTGAAGCTGATAAGCTCCGAGACTTGGCCCGGCCCCTGATGGGATGATTGTAGCTCCAGGTCTCATCCCCATGACACGCTGAGCAGTGGTATGAGGCTGAATCAGGGCTCAATTCCTTACTCACATTCATCTTTCCTGGTTCCATTTCCATAGTTGATATGAGAAAAACACTGATGCCTTAATTTGATAAAATAAAGAAAGTCAATGTATATGAGCAGCAGTAACAAACATTCAGTGTATCCAAGGAAATGTTGGATGTGATTATCTGAACAACTGTGGTCACCTGCACAAGGCTCTCCCTCCCACAAGACCCTCAGGACATTCCCTGTGGAGGGATGAGGAAGATTCCTGAGGTTCCACCCATCCCTGAAGACATATAAGAAGTAAACACTGCTGGGAAAAGACTACTGACACAGTTGTCTGAGTCACCTAGGCTCCTCTAAGTAACCTCAATAAACTCACTGCTGGACTTGGCTGGGCCCATTTGTCACCACCTTCTCTATCTGGGTGAACAGAAAACAGACTCCCTAAGAAAAGTCACAAGCAACAGGAAAAAACTGCCAGGTTTCCATTTTCCAAAGTTTCTAAAAAATATGCTACTTTTACCCTAACAACAGTTAAAAAAAACTCAGAATCCTTCTTGTTGTCATTTTTCTTCAGTGCAGAGACTGAATCCAGGGCCTAGCACACTCTAGATAAGTGCTCTATGACTAAGATGCACCTTTCACCCCCACTGGTGTTTTTCAATCAATCTAAAGATAGAAGAGAGCAAGGACAAAATAACCAAGACAGAGTAGTAGCATTTCCATCACAAGCCAGATAAAAGGGTCCCTGGAAGGGTGGACACAGAGCACCACATAGCAGCCCTGTGGCCAGACAAGTACGATCAGAATGTAAGGTTGTGGTGTAGACAGCAGCACAGCAATGCACTTTTCAGTCCCTAACAGCTGCAGAACAGCAGGTGTGCACGGGGGCGTGTACAAAATGGACAAGATCAGTCCAGTACCAAGAAAGTCATCAAAACTGAACTGCAGTAATTCTCAAAGAAAACTTCACATCATCCAAATGTCATGAAGGTACACAGTTCTGACACCATGGCTCAATAAAATCAGGAAAAGACAAAGGAAGCAAAAAAAAAAAAAAAAAGTCCACTCACCTAGAGTTCTGAAACATTTTCCCGGCCCTCTTGGGGTGAAAGCCAGCATGAGAAGTCACATGGGCAACACCCAGACAGCGAAACCAGGCAAACACAAAGTTTATTTACTCCCCTAGAACCAAGCTGGACTTTCTGAGGATGAGTGGTAGTTAACTAACAAAATTGGAAAGGAATAAAATGAGTTGGCCTGGCAGTGGCGGCACATGCCTTCGATCTCAGCACTTGGGAGGTGGTAGCAGTCAGATCTCTGAGTTCCAGGCCAGCTAGGGCCACAGTGAGACAGACTCCTGTCTCTAAAACAAAACAACAAAGAAGCCTAGCTTTGGGGATGAAAGCCTATGAAGCCAGGAGGCAGAGGCAGGAGGTTCTCTGAGTTTGAGAGAATTCTAGGACAGTCAGGGCTACAGAATACCTTGTCTTAAAAATAAACAGACAAAGCTGGGCGGTGGTGGCGCACGCCTTTAATCCCAGCACTCGGGAGGCAGAGCCAGGCGGATCTCTGTGAGTTCGAGGCCAGCCTGGTCTACAGAGAGAGTTCCAGGAAAGGCGCAAAGCTACACAGAGAAACCCTGTCTTGAAAAAATAAATAAATAAATACATAAATAAATAGACAAAACTAGCAGAGCTCTGTGAACTCCAGTTCAGCCACAGCCACATTTTATCTGCTTCAAAAACCAAAGAGGAAAAAGAAAGAACACAAAGAGTGCAGAGTCTGGAGAGAAACTATAATAAACTTGTTTCAGTTAAGAGACGAAAGAACTGAACCCTAGTTTCTTCTCTGTTGCTGTGATAAAACACTGACCAAAAGCACTTAAGAGAGGAAGGGGTTTATTTGGCTTACATGTCCATAGCCAGTTCACAGCCCATCACCGAGGGAAGTCATTGCAAAAGCCTGTCGAAACTATGGAGAAAAACTGCTCACTGGCTTGTTCTAATGTTCAGCTAGCTTTCTTATATAACTACCTAGGAACACCTGCCCAGGGTATGGCACCACCCACAATGGCCTGGTCCCTCCTGTATCAATAGTCAGGACAATCCTTCACATGCCCAAAGATCAACCTGATGAATCATTTGAGGCTAGGCTGTGTTAAGCTGATGTTAACTAGGACACACTGAACATTTTTTGGGGGTGGGAGTATTTTTGAGATAGGTCTCATGTAGTTTAGACTGATCTCACACATCACTATGTTAATAAGAATGACCTTGTTGATTCTCCTGTGTACTGAGATTACAGGTCCTCACCCAATGATGGGCTAAACTAAGAACCTGATCAAGACTTTTAAAATTCTCTTTAAGATTTATTTTATGTATATACATTTTGCCTATATGTACGTATGTGTACCATGTGTATGCATACCATGTATATGCCTAGTACCCCAGGAAGTCAGAAACAGGGCATTGGATGCCCTGGAACTGGAGTTACAGATGGGTACTAGAAATCAAACCTGGGTCCTCTGCAAGTGCTTTTAACCCCTGAGCCATCTCTCCAGCCCCATTTTCTTTTTTGAGACAAGGTCTTCACACTATAATTCAGGCTGTCCTAGAATTCATTTTTGTGAGGGCCTAAAGAAATCTAGGTCAAGTCTCATTCAGTACCTGTGGCTCCTCCCAGCACATCTCATCCCCAACCTCCTTTAGACCCTCTAGCCTAGGGGCTGAGCTTTGCCTCCCTTCTCCCAGCTTCGGATTCCTATGTAAATGCCATTTTGGGTCCTAGCCCTCCTAGTCCTCTTGGCCCCTTCTCTCTTTCTCTCTGGATCTCCCCCACTCCCCACCCCTTCTCTTCTCAAGGTCTGGTCTATTCTGCTGGCCATGTTCAGTCTGGACCCTTCATTCTCTCCCTCACACCTGCAATAAAACCCTCCAACCTTGGAGCCCTCACATCATTTTCATTCCAACTGTCCTCTCACCTTCAGTGATCCTCCTGCTTTCAGCTCCCAAGGGTTGAGATTACAAGTGTGAGCCACCATGTCCTTAAGATGACTTTTTTTTTTTTAAGTTTAAACTTTTAATTTTTATTCATTTCTTTATTTTTGGTTTCTCGAGACAGGGTTTCTCTGTGTAGCCCTGGCTGTCATGGAACTCTGTAGACCAGGTTGCCTCGAACTCAGGATGCCTCTACCTCTGAAGTGTTGGGATTAAGGCGTTCGCCACCATGGCCAGGCTCATTTTATTTATTTATTTATTTTTTGAATTAGGTGAATATGTTGTATGTCTCTGTGTGGTAATGTGCATGCATGTGCAGGTGCCTATAGAAGCCAAGAGTTGGAGTCCCTAGAGCTGGAGTTACAGGTGGTTGTAAACTGCCTGATATGGGTGCTGGGAACCAAATTCTGGTTCTCTACATCTTTGCAGTATTTGCTCTTAACTGCTAAGGCATCTCTCTAGCCCACAAGATGGTAAAGAACCTTCAGAGAGCCTGGCATAGTGTTACATGGCTGAAATTCCAGCACTAAGGAACTAGGCAGAATAGGAGAATCAGGTCAGCCTGCTTCACAGGGGAGACTATAAAAACAACAACAACAACAACAAAAAAAACCCAAACCTCCAGAAAGGATTATGATGGAGAGAAACATCAGCCACAGGGCCATGATTGTAGGCAATGTGGTCAATGACAACCCCAGACCTGCTGCTCCATCTCAGGAAGCCTGCAAGGGGCAAAACACAAACCTACATAAATACCACAGCTTCCTGCTTAGGAATATTGATATGAAAATGTCTTCAATAACTAGAAGTCTGAATGGAGAGTGTGCTACAAGCATGCACTCAACATAACCCATCCTTAATAAGAAAATCACTGTACAGCAAATAGAGAACAGTGTCAAAAAAACAAAAAACAAATATTTTGCCATCAAAGAAGAGAAACAGCTGGACCTGATGACACACACCTTTAATCAAGCACTCAGGAGGTAGAGGTAAGAGGATCTCTGAGTTCAAGGCTAGCCTGGTCTACAAAGAGAAATCCTGTCTTTTTTTTAAAAAAAAAATAAAGAAAGTAAGTAAGTATAAATCCCAGATGAAATAGTGCTGTGGTCTAAATGCTTCTTTTTTTCCCCCTAGCAGTAATGGGATTGAACGCAGGACCTCACTCATGCTAGGCACATGCTCTACCACTGAACTATACCCCAAGCTGTTTTATTTTTTGAGACAGTCTCTCTTGTTACCCACACAGGCCTTTCACTTGTGATCTTTCTTCCTCAGCCTCCAGAGCAGCTGGGATTAACAGACCTGCACCACCAAGCCAAGCACTGTGCTTGAAGTTATCTTGAAGCCTTAACTACAACTGTGACTGTATTTGGAGAAGGGCTTATGAGGAAATGAGTCACAGGGTGGGGCCCTGATGTCCATTTAGTGCCCCTCACTACTACAAGGTTTCTCTCTGTAAAGCCCTGGCAGCCCTAGAACTTACTCACAGAGATCTGCCTGCCTCTGCCTCCCAAGGGCTGGGATTAAAGGCATCTGCCACCAATGCCTTCATCAGTGCCTTTTAAAGAGATATCAGAGATCTCCCTCCATTCCCTTCCCTCCCCTCCAGACAGGGTTTCTCTGTGAAACAGTTTTGCTGTCCTGGAACTCACAGAGATCTTCCTGCCTCTGCCTCCCGAATGCTGGGACTAAAGGCTTGCAACACCACTGCCCGGTTTCCCTCTAGTTTCAAACCTGTCCACCATAAGCCGCACAGAGGTGCTCAGGAAAAGTTCTCCCCCAGTGAGCTGGTACCTGATGATCTTGGACTCCAGTCTCCAGGACTGTGAGAACATAAATCTACTCCTTTGAACCACTCAGTCTGTGCTGCTTTGTTATAGTAGTCCAAACAACTAGGGCATGTATAACTATGGCAGGGAAAGCAGAAGAAAAATCCACTGACTATGGACAAACCTTTGGAGCCCCTGCTAAAGTCAAAGATAAAGGAATAGATATGGTTCTTATCCTGGCTACACTGGATACTCACCAGAGGAGCTCTATAAAACAAAACAAAACCGGGTGGCAGTGGTGCACACCTTTAATCCGAGCACTCGGG